GGTAGCTTCGGCCGAGTTAAGCCAGGGAAAAACGGGTTCGCACCAAGGGAAGTAAAATCTGATAGCATCAAGCTTTTTCTATTCAAAGTCAAGCCATATTCTAAGGTGCCACACGAAATCTCCCAAACCAGACACCTTTAATAATAAAAAAAGCCCAAACAACCCCCAAATCTGCAGTTCTGCCAATAAAACTTGGGTCCCCTCTGTCCAAATCGGTCTTTTCGCACTAAAAATAAGGCGCCATTGCAAGAACGACGCGGAGACTCCGCGATCTCCCCGAACGTTCCTAGCAGTATTACAAAAATTGTGATTTTTATGAAATAAAAGCAGATTCCCCCCACCCCTACCTCCTCTCTTCAGCTACCTGAAGTGTTTTCCAGCCGGCGTCCCCGCTTCTCCCCACCCCAAGCCATTCCAGCACCGCTGCCTCCTCCCCGTCGCCGTTTTTTTCAGCCCGGGTTCGAAGCCCACCGCCCTCTCGCCGCTCGGCGAAACTCGGCGGAGCGAGCAGCTGCCAAAAAGCCTGGGAGACTCTTTGGAAACCAGGGGCTGGAAACGGGCCCTTGAAGGGGAAAGGCCACAAAAACGCTCCAAACACCTCGAGAAATCTACGTGGTTTGCCTTCATTCCTTGTTTTCAAGTCACTTCCAAGAGACGGTCGGCTTCTCCCTTTGGAAAGCGGGATGGGACGAGGCTAATTAGGGGCAGGAAGGGTAGAAAAAGCAACCATGACCCCAAAATGACACAAAATGTAGCTACAAAGGCTCAAGATGACATTCTTACTGGTTCGTTTGGAAGACTTGCTCATCATTTTCTGCACACAGGCCAAGAAACCCCTCACCAGGATCTTCCAACCCCAGCAAGGCAACAGCCAGGCTGTCAGAAGACGAGCCAGATGCTTCTGGGCCTACTGAAGCACCCAAAAATTCGGTATTTAACCCCATTTAGGAGAAAGTGGTTTCTCTGGAGACCAAAAACCACACCAGGCTTCGCCTACCACCCACGCCATGCCCAGAACAGTGGGATCTGAGCAGGGCACGTCCCGCCTCGTGCCGCCCACGGGCAGGGAAAACCCCGGGGGGAGATTTGTCAGGAGATTCCCTTTGGGAAAACCGAATGCACGAGGGGCCGCGGCTTCTCCACGAGCAAAACCCTCAGGTTTCAGCGAGGTTTTCTGCGTCCAGCCCAACCACACAGGGGCAACAGCAAAAAAAAAAAAAGGAGCTGAAGAGAGCAGCTAACACTGTAGGTGTGACACCTGCAGCCTCGTTAAGGAGATTTTTTAATTTTGCAGCTTGGAACAGCGAGCCCAGCACGCCGCTGAGCAGGATTCCTCCTCTTTACCTCAAAAGCAAGGAATTAAGCGCGGGGAAGCTGGGTGCTCCGGAGGGACCAGTATAACCCGCTGCCTCCAGTCCAGGTTGAAA